TTATGGGAAATAAGATTACATTTTTGAACAAAGGTCTTTCCACACTCCATGCATTTATATGGTTTCTCTCCTGAGTGGATCTTTTTGTGCCCACTAAGGCCACTACTATAAGCAAAGGTCTTTCCACACTCCATGCATTTAAATGGCTTCTCTCCTGTGTGGATTATCTTATGGGAAATAAGATTACATTTTTGAGCAAAGGTCTTTCCACATTCCATGCATTTAAAAGGCTTCTCCCCGGTGTGGATCCTTTTGTGTATTTTTATTTCACTGTTATGAGCAAACGTCTTTCCACACACCAAGCATTTGTACAGCTTTTCCCCTGTGTGGATCCTTTCATGGGAAGTAAGTGTACTGGTATGAGCAAAGGTTTTTCCACACTCCATACATTTATACGACTTCTCCCCAATGTGGATCATCTTATGGGAAATAAGATTACTTCTTTGAGCAAAGGTCTTTCCACACTCTGTGCATTTATATGGTTTATCCCCTGTGTGGATCATCTTATGGGAAATAAGATTACCTCTTTGAGCAAAGGTCTTTCCACACTCTGTGCATTTATATGGTTTATCCCCTGTGTGGATCATCTTATGGGAAATAAGATTACCTCTTTGAGCAAAAGTCTTTTCACACACTATGCATTTATATGGTTTATCCCCAGTGTGGATCCTTGTATGGATAGTAAGTTGCCTGTTTGTTCTAAAACATTTTCCGCATTCCAAACATTTATAAGGCTTCTCTTTTGTGTCAATCACTTTTTGAGATGTAAGGAAGTTATTCCCAAGAGAAAGAATGAATGTCCCATTGTAATTTTGTCCGTTGTGTCTTCTTATAGCACCTTCTCCTTTGTTTGGGGTTAAATAGTGTTCATTTACTTGTACTTTTGGTTTGATTAGTTTCACACTTTTTCCAGTATATTTTTGCCTTATATTCTCTTCTTGGGCAAGAAAGTCTTGCATTGGAGCATCAGTGTAAGATGAGCTTTCCTGATTCAAATTCTTTGACTGGTTTCTCTCATGGCTTTCAAATTCCATTCGAATTCTAAACTTCTCCGTTCCATCTTTAGCACTGATCACTTGGAACAGTTCACAGGAATCTCGATTATCCTGCCCATTATTACCTTCAAAGCAAAAGGGAAATGAAAATGATAACAAGGTTAGAGGAAAAGATGAAACTGCATGCTTACAGTGGTGTGATATAGACATGATGGTTTCTATATTCACGAGTCATGAAAGCTTTGAAAGTATCTAGAAAACATCTCTTTCTTTACAATTATCTCTATCTATCTATCTATCTATCTATCTATCTATCTATCTATCTATCTATCTATGCAAATCTCACTTAGAATCAGCTTTGAGTTAAGGAATAGAATAGAATAAGAGAGGTGGAAGGTACCTTGGAGATCTTCTAGTCTAATCCCCTGCTTAAGCAAGAAACCCTACACCACTTCAGACAAATGGTTATCCAACATCTTCTTAAAAACTTCCAGTGCTGTAGCATTCACAACTTCTGGAGGCAAGTTGTTCCACTGATTAATTGTACTACCTGTCAGGAAATTTCTCCTTACTTCTAAGTTACTTCTCTCCTTGATTAGTTTCTACCCATTGCTTCTTGTCCTGCCCTCAGGTGCTTGGAGCAGTGGTTGCCAACCACTGGGCTGGGGACCATTGGTGGTCCACGAGAAAATTTTGGTGGTCCGCAGACAAATGTCACCCCCAAAGCAATTAATCCAGGCTGCGCAGGAACACAAGGCTGCGCCACCCACATGGCCCGCGGGAACACAAGGCTTGCATTGCTTGCATTGTGAACAACACAAGGTAGTGAGGGGAGAGGGGGAACTTGCCCAACGCACCCCACGTGCCTTGCCTGGCCATCGGGCTGCTTCTATGCGCTTCTTTCTTCTTCTGCTTTTGGCTGCACACAAGGAAAGCAGCCAAAGTCTTTCTTTCTCTCCCCCAAACTCCACCAGAAATGAGTCTTTGGGACTCTGCAAGGCTTCCTGCTCCAAGAGGCTGCGCTGGCAGACTCATTTCTGGCAGAGTTTGGGGGAGAGAAAGAAAGACTTCTGCTGCTTTCCTTGCATGAAGCCAAAAGGGTCTCTCTCTCTCTCTCTCTCTCCCTCTCTCTCTCTCCCCGAGAATGGAGCTGGAGACCTGTGATCTCAAATAAAGAATGATCTATCAGTAGGAAAACGGGTTGTGGAATTTTCTTGCAGACTTTTTTAGGATTTTCCCAGGGTCTCTGGTCTGCAGGATTTAAAATTATAAGTTTGGTGGTCCTGAAAAGGTTGGCGACCCCTGCTCCAGAGGACACATAAAAGCACATCTCATTCTTTTCAGCTTCCACAGATACTTTCAAATAGAAATGGAAACATACAGATAAGAGATGGCACAGAAAGCATCTAAGCAAAGAGACATGGACTTTTTCCTTCCTTGGAGAACCACAAGGCCAGATCCTTTCCTTCTCCCTCCCAGGCGACGATATCTAGAAAACTCTTACCCAGAGGGACCACGTTCCTATGGTTTTCAAGCATGACTTCCAAATGCAGCGCTTTCTGGTCAGGATCCAGCTGAGACCATTCCTCCTCAGAGAAATACACAGCCACCTCCTCAAAGGACACAAGACTCTCCTGAACACGGAAAAAAGAGCAGAACGGGAGGATTTTCAAGATCTGTTCATCATTGATTTAGACAAGAGGATAGAAGGGGAACTCTTCAAATTTGCAGACAAGACCATATTGACAGGAATAGCAACACTCCAGAAGATAAACTCAGAGATACAGAAAGATCGACAGATTGGGCCCCATCTAACAAAAGGAAATCAACAGTGAGAAATGTAAAGTTCTACCTTTAGGAAACAAAAAACAAATGTATTGGCATAGAATAGATGATACCTGGCTCAACAGTAGTAAGTGCAACAGGGATCTTGGAGTGCTAGTGGACAACCACTTAAACATGAGTCAGCACTATGCTACAGTTGCACACAAAAAACCCCAACAGAATCATAGGCTGCATTAAGAGGGATAGAATCAAGATGACATGAAGTATTAGCATCACTTTATAATGCCTTGGTAAGACCACACTTGGAATATTACATCCAGTTTTGGTTGCCAGATGTAAAAAAGATCTTGAGACTCTAGAAAGTGTGTAGAGAAGAGCAAGAAAACCTATTAGTGGGCTGGAGGCTAAAACATATAAAGAACAGTTGCTGGAACTGGGGATGTCTAGTTTCATGAAAAGAAGGCCTAGGGCGTGACATGAAAGCAGTGTTCCAAGAAGCAATGGATGGAGACTATTCAAAGAGAGAACCAACCTGCAACTAAAGAGAAATTTCCTGACAGTGAGAACAATTAATCAGTGGAATGACTTGCCTCCAGAAATTGTGGATGCTCCAATAATGGAGGTTTTTATGAAGAAACTGGACAGCTATTTATCTGAAAAGTTATAGGGTTTCCTGTCTGAACAGGGAGTTGGACTAGAACAGTGGTCGCCAACCAGTGGGCTGGGGACTACTGGTGGTCTGTGAGAAAATTTTGGTGGTCCGCAGAGAAATGTCCCTCCCAAGCCACCTGCTGGCTCCCACCCTTCAGCCCATCACAAAGCTTAAGTAGACCACGCAAGCTGGAACTGGAAAATAAGACCAACTGTGTGGGGGAGGGAAATCTGCCCTAGGGTGGCTTGCTGCCCTAGGGTGGCTTGGTGAGAAGTTTGGTCCCATATTCCAGAGCTGCAACAGTCACAGGAGTGGTCCTTTGGTCATCCTGGAGCAGCTGCTCTTCCATCTGGGTGCACCGGCCTGCCATGGACTGGAGGAGGTGCTCTGGGATGACCAAAGGGCCAGTCCTGTGACTACTGCAGCTCTGGAATATGGGACCAACTTTCCCATCAATGTCAGCAAGACATTGTCGGTCCAAATTCATATTAGTGGTCCGTGGGAGTTAAAATTATGAGTTTGGTGGTCCCTGAAGTCCAAAAGGTTGGCGACCTCTGGACTAGACCTCAAGATACCTATCAACTCTGTTATTCTGTTCCATTGTTCCCAAATCAGAGATATGCATTAAGTTAAATGGCTGTGGGTCACAGAAGTCCTAATTTTAGGTGAGCAAATGGGCAAATTTGAAAATTGCTTTCACAGAAGAAATATTTGGGGAACATTTTATCAAGTTCATTGATTCTGCAAAACCTTCAGTGCCTTTCAGCAAAGTAATCCCACTTCTGGATCAACGGATCTATCGCTCTATCATTGATTGATCTAGTAGTCTGAGCAATTGGCTGAAAGGAAGAAAAGAAAGAAGAGAAAACGGGAATGTTTGCTCTCTTAAATGAGGCTTAAATCAGAGGACTGGAAATTATTTTGTAGGCCAAAGTACCATGATTATAGGCTCAACACGGCCACTCACTTTGGATTTTAATAAAAGATTATAAATAAGGCTTTTTAAAAATGGTAATGTGGGAATGTATTTATTTTTCATTAGCCTTTCAAAATTCCGAGTTGAAGAAAAAAAGTGGGGGGTCTTTAGCAGTTCCTGCCACTGTGATAGGTTTATTTCTACTTCTTGAAGGACTTTTTAAAAATTGCTTCTTTTAAACTCCAAGTTGGAGGAGAACCTAGCAGAAGATGATAACCAGAGGAAGCTATGCTGGCTTGAAACTACTATTCTGTCTCCATGTTGTGGAAGAACACAAAAATAATCCAGGCCAAACAAGGAGGGAAAACAGAAGGAGAGAACACTCTGCACACCCGCTCCACTTCCTGAAGGAAGAATAGAAATCTAATATCTTTTCCCTTTCTTACTTGATTTGGAGGTTCAACCGCTGTTTCATCTCCGTCATAAAAACCAGAAAGCTTCATTCTTTGTTTTTCTATAAGGAATAAATAATTTCAAAATGCATAATGGACAAGATAGGAGGAGGTATTCTACAGGAGAGAAGAGAGAGTGAAGGGAAGACAGATGTGGAATCAGAGGATCTTCCATTACCTCCTGAGGTGTCCTGACTTGGATCTTCCCAAGGGATCCTCCTGAAAAATAGCTCCTGAGGGGGATTTGATGGGTTCTTCTTTTCCTCAGGATCTCTGATCTCCACAGTGCAGCACTTCAAACAGGAGGAAAGAAGAAGCAGAATTAATGTACATCACAGACACAAAGTGGATTCTTGTATTCACAGCCTCAAAGCCCACAATATCCATCTGTGTGGCTGAATGAGAAAACAATGGAACAATAGCAATAGCACTTTATAGTCCTTTACAGCCCCCTCTAAGCGGTTTACAGAGTAAGCATATTGCCCCCAACTATTTGGGTCCTCACTGTACCCACCTTGGAAGGATGAGTCAACCTTGAGCCTGGTGGGATTTGAACTGCCAAATTGTAGGCAGCTGGCTGCAGAGGTAGCTTGCAGTACTGCACTCTAACCATTGCACCACAGAGGCTCCTACAAGAACTGGTGAATTGCCACATATTATGAAGGTGGAGAAGTTTGGGAAGGAGGGGTGAAGCATTCAAACACTTTATTTATTCCCTTCCGAGCTCCCTAAAGTCTCCCACCTGCCACTGGAGTTGCTCCTTCTGCTCCTCCGCCTGGCTCAGGAGGAAGCCTTCCGCCAGGGCCACCGCCTGGGAACTGCTCTCTGCTCCACACTCCCGCACCCAGCCCTCCATCTCTGGGGGCAGAAGGAACAGGAGATGCTCCAGAACCACCAGGTCCAGCATTTGGGCTTTGCTGTGCTTTCCTGGGCTCAGCCATCGCCTGCACCAGTCATGGAGTTGGCTGCAAAGTCCACGGGGACCCTCAGTCTCCTGGTATCGGATGAAGTTCCAGGGCGGAACTTCTGAAGGGAGGATGGTTCCCTCCTGCAGGACCTTCTGCCTGGTTCTGGTCCAGCTCTCCCCACAGCTCCCAGGCTGAAGAGCCACAGGGCCTTTACCGCTCTCCATCCTTCCTCTCTCTGGCACAGAAGCTCCAAAGGGCTCCAGGGGCTCTGGGGGTCTCCAGGGGCCTCTTCCTTCAGGGGACCATTTCTGGGGCCGCAGGACGGATCCCTGCCGGTCCTTCTTTCCTTCCTTCCCCCGCAGAGGAAATCCTGGCTTGCAAAGGCTGCCGAGGGCTCCGCGATTCCGGATCTGCGAGGAAGAGAAAAACCGACGCCCAGGATCAGAATGGGGAATTCAGCGTCTTTGGGGTGCAGACAAGTTGGGAGAAGCGGCTCCTGCCAGCGCAGGCCCAGCCCCCCCCCCCCGTCCCCCCCCCCCCCCAGGAAGGAGGC